CAGTCTATTATTTGGGGCATTTATAATTCAGTAAACCTCTCAAGCCTCTAATCTTACAATCACCCCAAGGAAAGAACATTTCATTTAAATTGGTTATCTTAAGTCATGGAATTGCTCTTTTATATTATAACAGGAGTTTCTATAAGTAAGTAACTTGTACAATCCCATTTTCTCTTCATTTCAAGCACACATCTGTCTATTATGATGGTACTGTGAAGATCATCCATATAATATCTTGAGGGAAAAAAAAAATACACCAATGCAGGCCAGGAAGGAGAGAAATAGATTGTAGAAGGCAGACTCACTCTAGTGGCAAGAGGTCGATACTCTGAGACTCAGGTTAAGACTGGAAAAGTATAGACTTGAAATTCTGCTACCATGATGTCCGAGGCACAGAGGACACAGTGCTGAGCACTAATCTGGCCAAACATACTATGATAGTGTGGAAAATATGATTGTATGAGTCTGGATTGCCACCAGAATTCTCAGAAAGTGCCCACTGAAAACACCCCATCATCTGACCAGTCCTTAGCAAGAACCCAACGCTGTCTCCGCCCTCTATCTGAATAAAGGTGTATGATTCCTCTACTGGAGATTAGGGCTCCTGTTCACTCAATTAGCCCCTAGTTAGAAGCTGAAACTCTCAGTGCAAATATGCTCTACATATTCTAAATTATACGCTATGTGAGTTTCTTGTTCATTCAGTGCACTCTTTGGGGAACCACCAAAACCTGTTTCATTTTCTAAGTATCAACAAGTGAGCTGACAAGGAGTAACAATGTCAGAGCCAAAGCATTCCATGAAAACTGCAATGCACTGCATCTCCATTCCCTGCTACAGTGAGATTCACGTATCCTCATTAGGATATGAAGGATAAAAGGGAAGGGAGAAAGAGATAATATGTTGTTGATCTGGATGAAGAATCAGATTTGGAAAGCAACTTCAGAAAATCTCTGCTCTAATTCATTCCTAAGATTAAGGCAAAAAGTCCTCAAGATAACAGAATTTTCTGCCTTCAGAGAGCAGCACTCTGCTGAAACTGGTCCTGGAGTTTACAGTGTGCCTCTCAATGGGATACTTATTTATCCTGTTGGATACCCCGAAGCATAAGTCTTTGACGCAGCATCCTTCTCACATGATATTTGTTTACACTGTCAGACACCCTTGTGGCACTTGTCGACCTGTGTCCACTCCATTCCCACCAAGGTAGCCACTTCTAGGAGAGCTCCGAGTTGGCAAAAAGTTGAGTTCACATGTGCTGGTCACATGAGACATGAGGAAGCAACTCAACAAAGCAAAGGTATTTCTTGCAGTGGGGATCACTGGGCACCGTTGTAGGGTCTAACTGACACATTCGGTCTTCTCCAATCTGCAAGTTTCATAGTCTCCCACTTATTTTTCTTGACCTTGACCCTTTTCAAATGTACAGGTCAGATATTTTGTATTTTGTAAGATGTCCCACAATATGGATTTGTCTCATGATTTGTCATGATTAAACTAGGGACATGTATACATTAAACACCTGTCATCTAAGTTTGCAGACAAGAAGAACTAAACATTATGGATTTAGAAATATAAACAGAATAAATATAACAAACACAAATTAGAGGGTAGCAAATAATTTCACAGTCATGGCGACCTTAAGGGATTAAGGAAGATGATTAAGCTAAGGAGATCCATTAACGGCCATGAACACATTGCTCATGTTCTATTTATAAGGTCAGCAGTGACTTTAAATAAAAAGAAGCCTTATACATTTAAGAATCGTTGGGGTTTACAGAATTGTTTTAAATGTAGTATATAGATTTTCCATATATCCCACTACAGTTGTTCTTTTTATTAACTTCTTAATGTAGGACATTTGTCAGAATTAACCAATTTTAAACATTATCATTAACTACTCTTCATACTTGATTCAGATTTCTTATGTTTCCCTTAATTTTTAATTTCTGTTCCAGGATCTCACCCAGGATACCTCAGCACGGTTGGGTATCATGTCTCCTTAGACTTCTCTGACTGTCACAGTTTCTTAGAATTTTCTAGTTTTTGATTACATTGACATTCCTAATGTGGGATTTCTCTGAGGTTTTTTTCATGATAAGACTAGATTTGTGGGTTTGGGAGAGGAAGATGACAGAGGAAAGGTGCCATTCTCCTCACATCATACCAAGGACACAGGCTCTCAACAGGCTTTATCATTATTAATGTTAATTTAATCAACTAGATGAAGTCATTTTATCAAATTATCACACAGTGTGAAATTATTATTATTTTTCCTTTTCCCCATGGAATGTTTCAGAACAAAGTCACTAACACAACACACATTTAAGAAGTGGGGAGTCATGGGCCAAGCACGATGGCTCATGCCTGTAATCCCAGCACTGTGGGAGGCTGAGGCAGGTGGATCACCTGAGGTCAGGAGTTCGAGACCAGCGTGGCAACATGGCGAAACCTCTAAAAATACAAAATTAGCTAGGCACAGTGCACGTGCCTGTACTCCCAGCTACTCCGGAGGCTGAGGCAGGAGAATCACTTGAACCTGGAAGGCAGAGGTTGAGGTGAGCTGAGATCATGCCACTGCACTCCAGCCTGTGCAACAGAGCGAGACTCCACACTCTATCTCAAACTAAAAAAAATGTGGGGATGTATGATCTACCTTCTTATGGCAGAATGTCTACAAATTTATTTGAACCCTCAACCATAAACATGTGTCTATTCTATTACATATTTATTCATTTATACATAAATTATTGATATCATCTGAACATGGATATTAATTTTATACTTTACATATGCTAATTTATTTGATTGCTCAAATTGTTGCATAGTTGACTATTGGAAGGTTTTTTAGTTGTCCCTGGTATAATTTTGAAATACCCACATAATTAAGGTTCAGTGTTGTATGGTTGGTTGGTTTTGTTGTTGTTCAGCATTTTCTTTAACCACTACTAGGTGCTCCAGGCAACTCTGTATTTAATTGTACTCCAGGCTAACTGTATAATTGTGTAATTTCTGCTAATGTTTCCAATACCATATGATCTAATCCAGCACCACATGAATGATGTGTGTAGTCTCTTACTCTCCTTGTGAAGAATTTGATGCTGGTCTCGTAATCATACTGCCTGAACATACATGCACAGTGGTTTCAGAAGAGGTAACTTATACCCCAATGGGAAACAATTTTACCAAGTAAAGTACAGCACTTAGGTATAAATACTTTGGCTTTTAGCCTTGGCATGTCCACTTATTACCCAAGTTACTTAGGCCCATTGCTTTCCCCCACTTTCTTTAGTGAGGTTATTCCATAAATTCAGAACATAGTTATATTACTTTTGGGGATATTCCTCCTTGTAAACCCTCTACCTACAAAGTAAGGTTTTTAAATTTGCATAATTTAGTACACTCTTTGTGTTATAAAGTTCTTCAGGATTCAGAAAACATTATTATGTATCCACCAATACAGTATCAGAGAGAGTAATTTCACTGCCCCAAAGAAACCTCCTGTATTTCACTGATTCCACCTTTCTCTCTCGCAAGCCCCCCCTTACCACCAGACTCTTTGCTATCACTATACTTTTTTCCTTTTCTAGAGAGTCATATAGGTAGAATTACATAGTATTTTGCCTTTTCCAACTTGTATTTTTTCACATAGCAATATACCTTTTAGATTTTTGAAGTATATATCATGTTTTTTTAGACTTCACATCCCCTATTGTTGCAGGACAGGTGAGCCCCAAATTTGGGGCTTCAACTGGCAGGGTTCTTGGCTTTGCCCAGGAAAGTATTTACGGGCAAGCCAGTGGTGATAGATGGCAGTCTTTTATTGAACAGTACTGCTCCATTAAGAGCAGGGCTAACTCATAGGCGTTGCGTCAGTTGGTAACCTATGGGCTCTTATCAACTATCTTTACACTAAGGTAAAATACTTTCAATTACATGGAAGTTGAGGGGTGAACCAATGAAACTTAATGGCAGGTGATTCAGAACTTTCCAGGACAGGAGCAGTAACTTCTGGGTTGTTGCCATGGAAAGAGGTGGTAAATTCCTGGTTGTTGGCATGGAATTTGTAAACAGTCATGCGCTGGAGGGAATGTCTCATGCCGGTGAACAGTGAGGACAACCAGGGATCCCTTTGTCTTCTTTTGCCGGTTTCTTCACTAGATGCTGTCTAGACCAGATCTTATTTTGATCAGCAGGATTGTGACTAGAAAACAACTTGCCAGTCTCCTGCCTCATAATGGCAGAAGGCATTGAGTGTCTTTTCCTGTGATTCGGATATGACTGTAGCTTTTATGGAGAATTGGGTATTTGAATAATTTCCATTTTTGATTGAGATATATGCCTTTTTATTTTTGAGCTCTTAAGATGTGTTGCTGTATATTATTAACAATAGACCGTTATCACCTATAAAACTTGCAAATACTTGCTTTTTAATTTAACTTAAGTTTAAGGGTACATGTGCACATTTGTTACATAGGTAAACTTGTGTCATGGTGGTTTGTTGTAGATTATTTCATCACCAATGTACTAAAGCCTAGTACCCCTTAGTTATCTTTTCTGATCCTCTCTCGCCTCCCACCCTCTGATAAACCTCAGTGTGTGTTGTTCCCCACTGTGTGTTTATGTGTTCTTATCATTTAACTCTCACTTATAAGAGAAAAAACATGGTATTTGGTTTTCTGTTCCTGCATTAGTTTGCTAAGGATAATAGCCTCCAGCGCCATCCATTTTCGTGTTAAAGACATGATACTTTTTATGGCTGCATAGTATTCCGTGGTGTGTATGTTCCACATTTTCTTTATGCAGTCCACCATTGATGGGCATTTAGGTTGATTCCACATTCTTACTATTGTGAATAGTGCTGCAATGAACCTATGCATGCATGTGTCTTCTTCACAGGACACTTTTTATTTCTTTGGGTATATGCTCAGTAATGGGATTGCTGGGTTAAATGATATTTCTGTTTTTAGGTCTTCTTGTAGTCTCCACACTGCCTTCCACAATGGTTGAACTAATTTAGACGTCCATTGACGGCGTGTAAGTAATTGCTTTTTCCACAACCTTGCCAGTATCTATTTCTTGACTATTTAGTAATAGCCATTCTGACTGGTGTTAGATGGTATCACATTGTGATTTTAATTGCATTTCTTTCAGGATCGGTGAGGTTGAGCTTTTCTTCATATGATTGTTAGCCACATATATATCTTCTGTTGAAAGTGTCTGTTCGTGTCCTTTGCCCTCTTTTTTTATGGAGTTGTTTTTTTTTTCTTGAACATTTGTTTAAGTTCCTTATAGATGCTGCATATTAGACTTTGGTCATATGCATAGGTTGCAAAACTTTTCTCCCATTCTGTAGGTTGTCTGTTCATTCTCTAGATAGTTTTCTTTTGCTGCGCAGAAGCCCTTAAGTTTAATTAGGTTTCATTTGCCAATATTTGCTTTTGTTTGCAAATATTTGCTCCCATTCTTTGGATGTCTTTATTTTTGTTGGTGCAGTGTGAATCACAAAAGTTTCACATTCTAATGACGTTTAATATGCCTGATTCTTCTTCTTCCCTTTTGCTTTCGGCATCATATCTTAGAAAAGATTGTTTAACCTAAGACCACGAAGATGTATTTCTGTGTTATTTTCTACATTTTGGGACTGTTTAGCTATTATATATAGATATATGATCCTTTTGAGCCACTTACATTTTCAGTGTGAGGCAGGAGTTCGACTTGCATGGAATATGCACTTGCTTAGAAATATTTTATTAGAAATATTTATCCATATATAATTTATTTGGTGACATTATAAATTATTTCACTATAAATGTATGTATTCATTTTTTGAGCCTTATATTCTATTACATTGATCAACATCTATATTCTTATACCAGTTCTATAAATCTTGATTAGTATTACTTTGCAGTGAGTTTTGAAATCAGGAATTATGTATCTCCCATGCCAACCTTTTTTCTCCTTTCTCAAAATAATTTAGGCTACTCTGGGTCTATTGCATTATATATGAACTTTCGATAAGCTTTGTGAATTTAGAGGAAGGGAGTGTCACCTGGGATTTCGATAGAGGTTGCATTAAATCTATAGATCCCTTTGGAGAATATTGCCAGCCTGGCAACATTAGCCTTTATAAGCAGTGAATAGTCAAAATTTTTTTCCGTTTTTTTTCAAAATATTTTCTATAGTTTTTGTGTATATATCTTATACTTAATTTGATAAACTTATTTTTGATGTCATCTCAAATGGAACATTCTGAGTTTTTTGTTTTAGATTATTAATTGCTAGCATATAGAAATTCAGAGGATTTTATATCTTCACCTTGTATACTGCAAGTTTGTTGAACTCATTTCTAAATTCTAAACATATTTGATTGAGTCCTTTAGAAGTTTTATACATAAGATCATGTCATATGCCAACAGAGTTTGACTTCCTTTCCATCCTCGAAGCCTTATATTTATGTTTCTAGACTAACTGTCATGTCTGTATCCTCTAGTACAATGTTGAAAACAAGTGTCAAGAGTGGAAATCCGTGTCTTGTTTCTAATCTTGGAGAAATTAGTGAACGTTTCAGATAACTTATGATGATACTTTAGTTTTTCACGGATCCCCTTTAAAAGGGAGACAGTTCCCTTATCTGCGTCATTTGCTGCATATTTTTCTCATAAGGAGTTGGAAAATTCTCAAGTGCCTATGCATCTTCTGAGATGATTATGTGGTTTTTGTTCTTTATTATATGAATACAGTGCATAGCACTAGTTGTATGTTGAACCAAATTTGCTTTCCTGAGGTAAAGATACTCATTGTATGCTTATAGCATACAATACTTTTACATGTTTCTGCTTTGTTTTACTAACATTTCCTTGATGATTTTTGTCCCTGTATTCATAAGGTATATTGTTCTTCATTTTCCCTATTTGAAGTGTCTTTGTCTGGCTGCAGTATCAGGGTAAACTAACTCAGTATACAATGAGAAATCATGTTTTCTCCACTTTTTTGGAATAATTTGTAATAAATTAGTATTAATTTTTTTAAATGATTATGATAATTCACTGATGAATTCTTCTTGATGAGGTCAGAGAGGTTAATCCTAAGAATGGTTACATGAGCTTGGAAGGAGACCCTTCCGCAGCTGAGCCTTAGCCTGGGCCATCACCTACATCTGGACTGAAGACCCAGAGAAACTGTGAGTAATATGTGTGTGGTTTTGAACCACTAAGATGTATAGTAGTCTGTTATGCACCAAGTCTTAAGTAATATACCTGACAGTAATTGCAATGCGGTATTCTAGATTAGGTCTTAGAACAGATAAATATATCATTATTAGAAACTCTGGTAAAATATGAAGGAAATCTGTAGATCAGTTAATAGTTTTGAAACATAGTGAAATTCTTAGTTTTCATGAATATACTATAGTTATTATAGTAACATTTTAGTTAGCTGAAGGGTATATGAAACTGTCTGTTGTACCTGTGTATCTTTTTGTAAATCTGCAATTATTTCAAAATCTGTTTTCTAAAATTATTATATCTTTAAAAAGAAAACAAAGACATAAGCAAAAATCTTTGGCTTCCAGAGATGAATGGGTACATAGGGAGAGAATAGAAAACGAGCATTTTTTATCTAGTCACCTTTCCAAACCCAGGTACACCTGCTTCGGGAAGGCACCATCAAGCTTTAGAGACTGTCATCCTTTTTCTCCTTCTCTGTTGCCCAGTCACCAGTTGGAGTGTCAGCAACCACTTGTTCAGAAAAAGCTGCCTTTCCTTCACATATCCAGAAAGCCCCATGTGCAGACATCATTGAGCAGTGTATATTCAGGATCCCATTGAAGCATTTTTGGGAGCTATGACTCAGATTAGAAGCCAAGAATTAGAAATTTCAGTGACAGGGAACATAAATCATATTTCTGCGTTCAGGATAGTGTTCTCTTGGTACAGGGATTTCTTCTTCAAGTAATCAGAAGACAACTGTACCTTCAAACCTTTCAGAAAAATATGTCCTAATTTAGTTCTTTTTATTCTACAGACTCCATCAGGAATTGTTTGGGACCATGCATTCTGTTGCCCACAGCCAACCCGAAAGCCACCAAGGTAGCAGGTAAGCAGATTACAACAAACGTTTCTAAAAAATGGGTTTAGGCCACACCCTACTTACAGAGACCTGGATATGAATCTTTTACACAACAGGATTTTTGCAGTTGGATGCTAGTGAGTGGAGAAAGCAGATGACAAAGTGCTGAGCAGGGAGTTCCCAGACACACTCTAACTGCATGGAAGATGTGATTTCCCACAATACCTTAAACCAACAGTTCCTTAGAGGTTGGCCTGGACATCACAATTCTAAAAGAGATGCCATTTAAAAGAAACCAAATTCTAGACCAGATCATGAGGCAAATACCCAACACTTGGACTCCACACTCTAACCTGATTAGAAGTTGGAGTTCAGTGGAAGAATGTCTTGGATATTTGAGAACATGACACTATGTGTATTTCATTTAGCCTTGCTGGAATTTAAAACTGTAGGGGAAAATTCAGTCAACCTCCTAAATTCTGTGAGTTTTTGTTTTTGTATGTGAGTTTCTGCATACACATAAAGAAACTCCCATCGTTTAGGAGGTTGACTGAATTTTGGGTATACAGAAATTCATACTTTATGTGTTTCTTCTTCTATCAGTGTATTCCTGAGGGAACATCAAAACCAGTCCCCAAATCCAAGTACCCAAATTAGGGTTGACCAGAGTAGCAAGGGGACAGATTAAAACATTTTATAAAGACCATTATGCATCTACGTCTGCAGTGACTAAGTATAAAGTGATTTCTGTGATCACCAGCCATATGGTTAAAACGGCAAAAGGGAATGAAGAAAAAAGAGTTACATAAATATTATAGCTGAAAGAATGGAATTTATAATGAAGCTTACAAGGATCATTGGTTATATTCCTAAGACTGCAGTGGAAAGTTTCAAGATACAGCTTTTTCTAGGTCTTTAGAAAGCTATCACTCCAGTGAATTTTTCAAGTAACTCTTTATAATTGCCATCTTCTTCCTCAGTGGATTTCTTAAACCATAGTTCATAAAACTACGTTTCCATGCATAACATAAGAATTCTAGTGTTCCACTAGTAACTCTAATGTGTCTAATAGCTACGTAGAATGTAAATGCACTTGGTAAACTTATGTGATAATATTTAAACATATTCCTTCAATAACAGGTAAGAATACAGTTGATGAGCCCCCATAATCTAACACTGAGAAATTGGCAGTCACAGAGGACAGTGTATTCCACTCATCGTAGAGGGCACATTTTCACGTTTATGAAACACAGGTGCACCTTAAATTAGACAGTGTAAAACACTATTGACGAGAAGGCAACCATAATGTTATTGTCCTCATTTACATATACATGAGCTTTGTCTATAAACCTTCCATTGACATTTTCAGGTCATATCATTAACATCATATCTTGCATAAGGGGTTTCAGAAGGTTGGAAAGATAAACTCACAGGAGCAACATAGGAATCTCACAAGAAGTGCAGCATCACCAAGCTTCAGAGTAGCACAGGTCATAATAATATGGGGAAAATTATGGGCAAGATGAATTGACGAGTGATTCAGGAGAGTTACATCTGAATGAGAGAAAATTTAGGAAAACCTTTTCAATGTGTTTTTCTTGTTTGTTCCATCCCATGTAATCATAGGAATGACACAAGACAAATATCCACATGTATGCACATTGAAAATAGTTTTTCCAGTAATTATAATGTATTTATATTATTACTATGTGATTTATTTATAAGTGATAAAAGTATTAGTTTCTTCGTTTGTTAGTGGTTTTGTTCTTCCATTCTGGTGTATGAAGTAATGACCTCTTACAATTCACACAAAAGATGTATCTCACAATTTATTAGAAAATTAATTTTTAGGGGTTAGTATAGGCTTGATAATATACTGCATGCTTTATATGATATCATTTCCTACAGTGCACACTGACGTCTCAAGAAGTGAGCACGATTTTCACTCCTGTGCTCCATTTTGGAGTCTGAGCTGACTTTCTGCGGGAAAGGTATAAAGGACCCTTGAGTTTGATACTGTCTGCCCCAGTCTTTGCTCACTTCAACTATATAGAATGTGTCTTGTCTGACATGCTAAATAATTTTCAGGTCTAGTTAGACAGCTCACCCTACCCTGTGACATGAAGATATTTTCCTAAATTGTGTTCTGAATACTCTTATTATTTTTATATTTAAGCCTATGAACCAACTAGAATTGATTTTGTGTGTATGTGAGGTCATAGGTCGTATCTTGGTTGTTCCCTGTGAATATTCAATTTCCTGGAACATTTTATTAAAAACTGATCTCTCCCCCATGCATCAATGTATAAATTAATTTTTATATATGTATATGTCTGCTTTCTAGCTCTGTTTTTATTTTTTAAGGTACTGGTTGTTTCTTCTATCTTTGTGCAAATTTCACAGTCTTATTATTATCTTTTTTTTCGTTTTTTTTTTTTGATACAGAGTCTCACTCTGTCACCCAGGCTGGAGTGCTATGACGCAATCATGGATCACGGCAACCTCCGACTCCTGGGTTCAAGCGATTCTTGTGCCTCAGCCTCTCGAGTAACTGGGATTATAGGTATGCGGCACCACACCTGGCTAATTCTTTTGTATTTTTAGTAGAGATGGAGTTTCACCATATTGGCTAGGCTGGTCTTGAACTCCTGACCTCAGGTGATCTGCCCACCTCGGCCTCCCAAAGTGCTGGGCTACAAGTGTGAGTCACCACACCCAGCCTGCACTGTCTTATGATTAAGAGAGTCTATTTAGGACAATAATTTTCTCTCCAAAGATTGTTTTGTATTTTTTCTTTTTTAAGAGAGAGAGAGGATTTTGTCCTGTTGTCCAGCTAGGGTACAGTGACTCAATCGTAGAGGAGACTCTGTGTTTGAACTACTGGGATCAAATGATCTTCCCCTCTCATTCTCCTGAATAGCTAGGACTACAGGCACAAGCCACCATGCCTGGTTAATTAATTTTTTTTTTTTTGGTAGAGACCGGGTCCTCCTATGTTTCCCATGCTAGTGTAGAACTCTTAGCCACGGGTAATCCTCCCTGCTTTGTCTCCCAGGGTGCCAGGATTGCAGGTGTAAGCCACTGTGCCTGGCCCAGAGCCTCTTATTCTAACCACAGTGCTTTTCCATAATGAAGTAAAAAATGTAACAACCTGCATGCCTTGCACCTACACCAGTACTTTCAGCTGTACCTTGAATAAAGCTGTAGGTTTAGAACTTTAAAAAAAAAAATTAAATGTTAATTTTTTTTGATACAGGATCTCGCCCTTACACCTGGGCTGGAGTGCAGTGGCAAGGTCTTGGCTCACTGGAGCCTCGACTTCTGGGCTCAAGCAGTCCTCCCACCTCACTTTCCCAAGTAGCTAGGACCACAAGTGTACAACTCTGCCAAGTTAAACTTTTTTTTGTGTTTTTTGTAGCGATGGGGTTTCGTCTTGTTGCGCAGGCTGACCTCGAGCCCCTGAGTTCAAGCAATCCGCCCACCTCAGCCTCCTGAGGTGCTGGGATTACAAGCATGAGCCACCGCACCTGGCTGGTTTAGAACTTAAATTGTTGCTGTAAACTCTTGAGTCTCTTAATATCCTTGTGAATCTTAGACAATCCCCCAACACCAGTCCCCACTTTATGTATAAATACTTTCAACAACAGCCATTAGTGTTGAAAACCTTGAGATGCAGCCATAGTAACCTTCTGCACTGGTGTAGACGACTCTGTGACAGGTTCCTTCTCCTCCAGACCGTGCCCACTAAAGTCAGAGCCACATGGGAGCCTCTGAGCTCAGAGCCACTGTATGGGGTCTCCATGTGCAAGGGCAGCAGCTTCCTGCCCTTTCTATTGGTGAGGTGAGGAATTCAGTTTTGAATAAAGCTGAGCTTGTTCAATACTGATTTTGCAGGCTGGCCAGTGACACCTTAAGACTTTATTTCTTGCATTGTAATATTTATCCTGGTTTTGATATGATTTGTTGTTCAAATGTGTTTAACACTTGAGTATAATATTTTTCTTTTTTTACTCTCATAAGCATCATCTAAAACCATATTTTAATTTTTGTGTTGTATATTTAAGGTGTTTATTCCTCTGTTTTAAAAATGGATTCACAATTATTTTTCAATGAACACTTTTAATTATTTTAATCTTTTCTCATATTTCTCTTTCCTAAATTTAATGTGAATATCATTTTTATTAGAAAAGACTGATGTTACACGTTCTCTGTTTTTTGTTTTTCTGCAAATTTTCTCTGAAATATCTCTGGTTGAAAAGGAGAAGGACAGAAACTGTTCTGGAAGCCACAAGGCAAAATTGACTCAGATTCTTATGCTTAAAAAGATGTGTGAAACTTTCCATTATATGGCTCAGTTTCTGTACATGTGAAAGGTTAACAAGGTATTGATTTGTGTAGCAGTATAGTAACACTTCCCGTCTGATTACAAGGAGCAACCACTTCTTAATTGTGCAGGTGTGAACTTCATGATTTTGCCTTACTTTCTCCTTACACAAAGATTTAGACAATGGCTGGACTCCATAATTCCTTCCATCTGACTTCCATAAATGTGTACATGACATGTCTTTGTACAGATCACCTATTCTATTAGATATTATTTTCTTATTTTTGATGAGTGATTATTAAATTTGGTTTTAGTTCTCAGAGATACAAAAAATACCACTTAGAAAATGTGTACATAGAGTGCTGGATCAGAAAATATTTTTGTGCCATTGGCTTGTAAAAAGGGTATTTCAATTTTTTATTTATTGTCCTTTTCATCAATCTTAATATTCTCAAAAGGCTTTCATGCTTGTGCTCTTTTTAGATTTTAATTTTTGTTTTAGTCAAAAACCATGTGAGGATTGGGAACACTTGTTCAAGATGTGTGACATGAGCAGTCAGCAGAGCAAAAACACTGATATTGTATGGGAATATGTAATAACAGATGGGCATTTGCTCTGCTAGGTGTGGCAGCAGTCAGGGTCTGTGAGCTTCAGTGCTGTAAGCAGAACTGACAGATCCTGCTTTAAGGAAAAAGGTGCCCC